TAATAATCCGAGCAGTTCCAATAGGGTCTTCGCACCCTTTTGGGTGCTCGGACCCTAATAATGATACCCCCGCCCTGCAAGTTGACTGGATTGTTTCTTTTGGTTTGTTACATATGAAACTGCAGAAGTCTGAATCTGGGTTTGTGAGCTGTCACGTGAAAATGCTGAGTCATGGGTTTGACTGCTTATTTAATTCATGATGTGTCTTCCAGCATAAAAAAAACACCGTATGGGCGTGTTAAGGTAAAAAACTTTACCTGGATTAACCTTTAACACCTCACCAGAGGGATCTTTAATATTTTTTTCAGAGACATGAGGGTAAATTATATAATTTACACATCACTTGAAACCTTGGGGGATTCATAGTTTATTGGTAGTGTCTGAAATATTACTGTAAATCACTCAGAAGCATGACATTTATATTAAAAGACATTTTTCCTAATAGCCAGTTGTAGAGAAAAAAACGTGACATGCAAAAGTCCTGGACATAAAAACAGTTTCATGCATTACTGTTTGCGTGTTAACCCATGATAGGTTGGTGCTTGGTCACGCTTACCTTTCCTCTTGGTCTCCTCAAACTCCCTCCGAGCTGACTCAATGTAGCGCTGCACCAGCGCCCTGATCACCTGCTGCCGATACGGTAACGGACTGTCTCCAGACCCCTTATTGTCGCCCTTTTTGTGTAATACAGATAAAATAAAACTTGTTTACTATCATATACAGCTGCATAGAGTATAACTGGCAATCAATAGGTAGCACAAAACTTTTTTTTTTCTTTTTTTTCCACAAAAATGACAATAACTGACTTACCATCGAGGCTATGGGGGGATACTTTTGCTCAGAAGAACAAGTGCAGCAGCAGATTCGTCTGAAGATACCCCTGAAACAGAATTTGAATTAAAGCAGGGACAATTCTGTTGCAGCTTAAAAGAGTCTCATAGTTCTGGAGCTCACCTCAAGATGTAAAAGATGGCTTTGGGCGAGGGGATGATGTTGAAAGGCACAGGCATGGTGAGGCCCTCTCTGAAGTAACTGAGGTACAGCTTTGACCGGGCAAACTTCCACTCAACATCTGCATCATCCTGAAATAAAACTGAGACGTCAGTGCGCATCACTGAGGTTTCTCTTTTTATTGCAGATGCCCCACATAAGTGTCTCTTTTACCTCAATTTTCTGAAAGGAGTTGGTGATCATAGCAATAAGCATGTTGAGGAGGACGATGACGATGACAAGAGTGAAGATGCCGTACAGGATCCTTCCTACAAACTCTGCCAACACAAACCGCGGCATGTCCACGTAGTCCTGGTTGGCCACGCCAAACATGGTCCAGAATAAGAAGTGGAAGGTCTCGTTAAACCTGCAGCAGTGAGTTGGAGAGTGTTAGCATGAGATTGTGGCTTGAAAAAGAGCACACTGCACATACAATTACGTAGGTATTTACGAGCACTGGGAGTACTTCTTGCTATTTTAACACTTAGATATCAAATGTGAAGAGCTTTGTTGTAGAGTTCTAGTTTCTGTACGTGATTAGGATCAGCAGAATTGATTGCAGAAAAGCCCAAGAAGGTCTCTAAAGCGTAGTTTTGGCATTTATGTAGTGACATTTACCATAACTTACTGGCCAACATAAACACTGACACCAATATATCTAAAAAAAAAATTATATATCAGCAATTTTCTGAAATCCTGCTCAACTAAAATGTAAAAGCTATTACTCTTTTTTTTTTTTGCATTGTTAACTCTTGTCTTAGGTTGAGACTTTCAGGGTTTCATACGTAACAAACCTATTGAACCAATCTTGTCAACTTGCAGGGTCAGAAGTTTGGTATCATTATTCTTCTTCAGAATCCTTTTCTGATTATGTAGAATTACTCCAATATTACAACTTGACATTGTGTCATTGAGAGTCATTTTTATAGTGTTTAAGCAAAGTCTTAGGTAAGCTGGTGTGCTTGAGCTGTGAGAGTCGGGAGAGGTGGGTTAAGAAAGAGGTAAAGACTTTACATTCTAGATTAAGCAACAGCGTAGAGTTACATCTAGTAAGTTTATGGAAGAACAGGATTTTTTGAAAATAATGTGTAACTTTGATGCACAAAGATGAGTTTTTAGGAGTTAAATCAATGACTGGAGAGGAATTCACTGTTCCAGATCAGACAGCCAGTGACTGAGGTCAAACAACAGCAGCATTTAGGAACCAAAACATCCCACATTCTTACCTGCCCAGATGTGGAGAGATGACATAAGGGACGTAGACATTGTTGATGCCACAGAGGAAGGCTGTTCCAATGATCATCAGAATGAACATGAATCTAAAAAAGAGAAAAGAAATCTTATTCTTCTGGCTCTGCCATGTCCTCTGAAGTACTTTCCAAGCAATGATCAATATATAAACATGCAGATACCTCATCATGTCATCAATCATCTTCCCTATAGAGATCTGCAGCGTCCCCAGAGACTCGTGGGCTGGCAGGATGTACGCCAGCCGTGTGAAGCTCAGCATGCTGGTCACTGCAAACAGCACCTCCGCGATCAGCTGAGGATCCTCCTGGTGCCAGTCGTCACGAACTGAGGGGCAGTTTCACATGACCACACACCGGTTAGAACTTTCAAAACCTCTAAACTGTGATTTTGTATGATTGTTTCTCACCAGTCTGGGTGAAGTAGACACACTCCTCTGTGCCATTCTGATCATGGCAGAGGAAGTAGCCTTTGAGCATGATGAGCACACGTAACGCAAAGGACGCCAGGTACATGCTGAGCACCATCATGTCCAAACAGTTCCACCAGTCCAGGAAGTAGCTCCGCAGCCCCTCGATCCACACTTCCTTACACTCATACCAGAAGAATCCTACGCGAGAGAGAGAGATCACAGTATGACCCTGGTTCACACTGTTTTCAGACTGGGGTTGACTATGAGTACCATTTCAGGAAGTTAAACACCTGGTAGTGAACCTACCGACCACCCACACCATGTGGAAGGAGCTATGTAGGATGTTCTGCTGCCGCGAAGCAAATTTGTCTCGATACATCTCCATGGTGATGGACTCTCCAAGTAGTGTGATGAGAAACCACAGATAGGAAGCTGAGTGAAGGAGAAACTTGATCACGGGAATCTTTAGGATCTTTCCAACCTGTCAAGGCCAAACCACACATGATCTTGATTGAATGTGTTATGAAAGTCTGTGACACTTTAAGATACTTCCCCACAGTTTATCAGGAAGAAATGACTCCACATTTGGCAATTTTCATGTGACCTTGGACTTTGGGGCAATCCAATAGACGAGGCAGAGAAAGGGCATGGTTAGGAAGATCCCCACAGAGACAAACAGCTTCCAGACCGTCCTGCTGCCTCTCCAGCCCGCCAGGTTCCCACACCAGATAGATGACAGAACCTGCTGGCAGATTGGGTGCGCTACAAACTACACAGAAATATACAGAAAGAGAGAGAAATGATTACGTCTTCTCTTAATCGTCTCAGTGTTTACAGCAGTTCCTGCCTCCAGCTACCTGCTTCTGGTTGTAGTTGACAGCAAGCCGCAGACGTGACAGGTTGGGTATTCCCTCCTCGAAGGCCTGCTCATTTAAGGCGTCCTGGCTCTCGTCTCCACAGCTGTTCAGGATGGTGGTCACCTCGCTCTGGTTGCGACACATGCCCAGCAATTCGACGGCAAACTCCTGACAGAGCTGCTCCAGGCTCAGGTACTGAGGCTGCCGGATAGAGCGACCACAGCTGAGTCATGAAACAACAGACACCTAACATGAACAATAAGCGGGGATAGCGATGAAACTCTTTAGACCTTGAACTCGGGCTCTTTCTGCGACAGCTTGCGGAGCTCTCTGCTGAGACTGAAGGCGCTGAGCATGGCGTCATCAGAGGTGATGGACAGGTAGGCACGGCTGGCGATGCCGCGATAGGTGTTGATGCGAGATAAGGAGAACTTCAGCAGGTCGTACTGTCGGCCGTTTCGACACTCCAGACAGGCGCAGGATATCTTGTGTGGCCATGGGATGACGTGGCCTTTCTGGGACAGCATGGTGACGATGTCATACAGGTCTTTCTGGCAGGCCAAGGTCAGAGGGGTCACACCGGGGGCGAACTGTGAGTTATCGATAGAGTGATCAAAGATAGCCTGAGAGAAGGACCGGACGTCCATCTTGTTGCCTTTCTCCTGGTCCAGGCGGTCCAGCAGACGCTTCACCACAATGGGCTGGTTGGTGTCCACAGCGACAAGGAGGGCCTCGTGAATCTGACGGAAGTCAAACTTGACCCCCTGCAGGAGGGCGTCCATGCCATCCTCGCTGCCCAGGCGGATGGAGAGGTTGAGGGCCTCCCTCCACTGCCGATCCTCGGATTCGTCCAGCTGGCGGACGATGCCGTCACCCGTCTTCAGCAGGCCACACAGCAGCTCTATTTTCCCCTCTTGAATGGCACTGATGAGCTCCGGGGGGAATCGCATCTTCTTGTTCATAATCTCGCGCCATTGTTCTGGCTGGAGGACAAGAAGAGCAAGAATGTCAGCAGATGTTCATCGACACACTTTTATGAAACTGATGCTAGAAATCAGATTTTTTAAAATAAAAATCAGCTAGTATTTTGATTCCATACTCAGAGTAAACCTTGGATTAAATGTAAAGATTTTAAAACAAAATCAAGGGATGTATAAAGAATAGAAAGCACTACAAATAAAGGCACAACTGAAGTCACATTTTATGACCTGAAAGAAAGCATAGTTCATTAATAAAACTAATAAGTTTGATATAATAAAGCTGTTTACACCTTAACTGTGGTACAGTAGGTTTAGATTTAGCCTTATTTTCTACTATTTTCAGTTTTCTACTGAATGACAAATAACGTGTGAAAAAAACTCTGCTTACCGTGAGGTTTTCCATTCCTGATGATGAAACAACAAACTTCTGGGCAGCAACAAAAGAAAATCACATTCTCTGGAGGAATGAAACAGATTAATGCCAGCTTTCTTTGAGCTTCGGAGATGAATGCGACGGACACCAGCAGCTCAGCTCAAATAAGAGGAGAACTGAGCACTTTGGTGTCCTGCGATCATGTGCTACCGGCTGACTACACGGATACATCAGCATTCACAAACTCAACAACACACTTCAATGTCCCATGTGGCGAGGCCAATTAAAATGTAACCGGTGCAAAGTGTTTTACCATTGGGCTCCTCACTGGAAACAGTGCCATGGTACAAGAATGGTAGCAGCTGTCATTGTCATCCCCTGAGGGAGCTGGAGGAAGTTCAAAGCAGTGGGAAAAACAAGGAGCTGCAAGTAAAAGATTGACTAATTATTTTCACGACACTCTTCTTGTGTAGCTCTCTTTTTCTCATTTAGTTCACCAGTCACTAAAATGACACTGTTTTATTTTAGTCTGGAAACTCCTGGAAGACTCCCTTTCATCTTGCTTTGAATATTTCAATCTTTGATCTCAACTGTATTTATTTATTGATTTTTTTTTTAAAATTTGTTTCATCTCTGAGGTTGAACAGCTTCTCTGTACTTATTGGTTCATCATCAGAGTAGAATGTGTCAGATGTCATATTAACTTCACCGTGCTTATGGACTTGATCCGAATCCCCATTCACCCCATATCATTTATATACAGTCGTCCCCAAATGTCATACCCTTCCACTAAAGAAAAGGCAAAATTCACTCAAATAAATAGAAACTGAACAAAGTTTTTTTTTATTTGTTTGTTTTGTTTTTTTAACAAACTGCTAAATTATAATTTAGTGAAATAAGACATTGCTTTTGAATTGTGGCTGAAAAGAATAATTTAAAAAAACAAATCTGTCCTGGACAAATTGAAGCACTTTGCTGATGAACAGTGGACCAAAATCAAAACACCTGTCAACAGGTGGAGAAGTCTGATTGAGAGTTACAGAAAACACTTGCAGTGATTGGCTCAAAGGGTTTTCCAACAAAATATTAGTTTATGGGTCCCATCATGCTGCAGGGTGGCGCAGTTGGTAGCACTGTTGCCTCGCAGCAAGAAGGT